AAAAATTTAAAAACCATCTAGGCAATCAGGAATAAATTATTTATCTAGCAATAAATATTGCGAAACAGTACACTGTTTCGCTGAAAAATGTAAAGCGGATCGAAATTTCAGCCCAAAAAATATAGCAAAAATTGAAAAGTATATAGGTTTATTCCGTTGATAAATTGAGTAAAGAAGAATAGTGTAAAATATGCAGAATCTCCAGATTTCAGCGGATGCTATTTCATACATAATGCAACCTTTAAATGTGCACTATTTTCAACGACCTTATTATAGTCACTGGCTTCATGGAGTTCCCACGCTACTAGTTTAAAAAATTTTCATTGAGAGTCGCGTTGAGAGCCGCAATGAGAGCTGTCGACACTCTAACCGAGATGAAGTAGCTACCAGCAGAGCTGAATGAAATTTTTGAATTGAGAGCTCTGCTGATAACTGTCGAGACAATCTCATAGAAATGAGACTGAACGAATCTTGAAATGGGTGAATATTTACTATACTTCGCTGATATTATCTGTCGAATAAAAACAATTATCGTTAAATTAGCATATTAGCCTAATTCATGTCTACCTATAATTTATGATATAGTAATAGTTTATTAAATAAATGTTATAGAGATTTTTATCAATCGAAATTACGTGCAGTTCTAAGGCTGAGGCTGTCGCCAGTCTCGCGATTGACCCGCTAATGGCGAGAGCAGCGTCGAGGGCATTTACGAGACTCGCCATTTGTACGGCAAATGCAACGGGAACGATCGAGAAGAGGGAAATGATTTTGAACTTAGCGATCAGATGTAGAGTACGCAAAATATATTACGCTAAAGTACGCTAAGTACGCTAAATATATGTAGATCGCTAAATATATTGATTCATCGGGTTTAGAATTTTTTATTGATCTTATATCAGAAATTGGTTATTGAAAAATTGTACTTTTTAAAATTGAAGGAAATTTAGATAATTTTAATAGGAGAAAATGCATAGTATTGCGAAGATAGGAAGTTGGTTGATTTTACTAGCTGCTGCAAACGTAGAATGACACGAAAAATAATTACTAATAAAAAATAAATAAACAAAAGAATTTGGTTCAAGCTGGAGAGGAACAATCGATAATTCACATTGAACACCATATTCGTCTTGAACACTTACTATTGCTCAATTTTACTCCATATCATTACGTTTCTTCCACCATGCTCGCTTTTTTCTTGACTCTTTCGTGTGAAATGAACTGAAAACGCATGCCTTTCTCATATAAGTAAAGCCTATAAGATGACTCGTGATTTCGAGAACTCAGTAAGTAAAACATTTCTCAGCTTCACCAGTCTTCGCGGAGACTCACTCGATCAAGTGCAATGCATAGAACGATACGCCAGCCTTAATTGAAAAGGTCACGTAAAAGCAACAGCTGTTGCAGACAACAGCGGATCGGAATTTTTACCAGCAAAATAAATTTTTAACGGAAACTTTCACAGTTTTATTAAAAAACGAGACGTGATTTATTTTTCAATTTGATTGAAAGAGTTTTTAACAAAATGGAGTCAAGATTTAGGTCCTGAATGTTGAAACGAGCTTCTTTCAAGGCCTCGTACGTGGTCGGGGTGTCGGCGTTTTCCTAGAAGTTAGCATAATTATACTCGTACAGCTTCGCTTTCCTGGAGGTAAAGAAGTTTTCCTTTAGTTCTTCTTCATTATAGGGAATAACTTTTCTCCTCTACAACAAGTCTTTCAGTGGAATCAAACCTCGCAGTAGACCATGTCTTGTCGATTTAATTTGATTCTCAGCAGAACCTATACTTTTCTGAAGACATTTACGTACCAGAAGCCTGCAAGAAGACATCAGCTTCCAAATTGACACCAATCACAATGAAAAATTTGATTTTCAGTAGACCCCGGCCAGTCTGATGGCGTTTTCTCTCAGTCTTTGTGTTGGCCTCAGCCTTCTTGTAAGTCTTAGCTTTCACTAGACCCCAGCGTTCTTGCAGATTCCGAACTACTTGTAAAACTAACCTGTACAGTTTACCCAGTTTTCTCGTTCCTTCCGTCATTCCATTAGACCCACATATTTTGTGATTCCGTCTTCCATAAAACTGAACCCTTTCTTCTTCTGCCAAGATTCTTGCAAACAAAAATTTTCGTGTAGGTCAGACCTTCACTGTATAGCTAAAGCCTTTCTGTAGATTCTCCGAGCCGCCTACATGGCGGTCCAAGACTTGCCATTCGCCTCCGAGTCTTCTTGTAGGACCCAAGCTTTCCTAAAGCCTGGAATCCTACTTGTTCGGCTAGCTTGAGACATGAAGCTGCCCAATCCTTTTCGGATCAGTGGCGACCGCCTCAGGTAGACTGCAGACGTCCCTATAATCTCATCCAATACGCCGGACAGATACCGTATTGTCCCGAAGCTTGCACTCCCTCTTGCAAGAGTCAACATTGAGACCTTTTGAATTATTGTTGTTCTGATACACATGCGCTGCGTCTAAGAGCGATCGTTGTATATACCAGATACATTATCGACAGAACAAATATAGCGAGTCATTGTGCCAACACAAATGAAGTACACCAAAAACTGCTATTGGATAATTTTATTACTGTATATTTTCAAGTACGTTCATGTACTTTTTTGGATTCTGGAAGCAAGAGATAATTAAAAATTCTAACTAAAACAATTAGTCAACGCGGCACAATTTAAAAAATTGGCGTCGTTCCGAACGCACTCCAGCTGTTAGTTCGTCGATTATTTATGAATTAGAGTATTATTAATCCTGCTGCGTGCTCTTCTTTAATTAACACAGGAAATTATTAATCACTGGTATACAGGGCTCGTTATTTTAAATGTAATTAATTTTGATGATGATAACCAAAATTTCCAGTTAACCAAGGGGTTCAAGATAAATTTTGCCACGAAGAAAATGTGCCCGGACCGGCGTATGTCAGGGAAGTGTTAAAGAGTGCATAGATCGTGCGTAGGGTTGTTCCTAGAGAACCCTAGATCAGGTTAGGCACGGCTACGTCGGGCTAGGCATGGGTAGTGGGTAGGGTCGGGTGGTCGAGGGCTCGGCTGCTCTGGGGCGGAGACTGAGAATAGAAAAGGGCGGTGTTGAGGTCAAGCCCACTGTAAAGCTTGCCTGAAAATACTTGTTAATTGTTTGATATATGCTTTGGTATCATCATATGATAATATAAAGTCTGGATCTTTCATGCATAGTTGTCTCACTGAACTCAGTTCTTGAGATTTGTCTTAAATTTAGCTGAGTCATCGACATTTTCTTACTCATTGATTTACAATTTCTTGCTTTTCCAGTACGGAACTATTTGCTATCTTCTAATAAATCTATTTCTAAATTGAATGCGTTTTGATGTTGTGAAGGGAAACCATTTATTTATTTCTGCACTGATTTCTTTTCCAGGATAAAAGTTTATTTTTGTTGTTATCAGTGACGGTCAACGAGTGAAAAGGAAACACAAAATAGTTTTGTGATGAAGAAAATATTTCTCATGTGCACACAATAGTTAATAAAAAAGTGGAATATTACAAATAAATATTTGTAACACATTTACTAAGATGATTGTGGATAAATGAGACAATGAAATTTAAAACTATCAAATTTAAATTGTATACGAAATCCATTTTGTCCGCAGAAGTGAAATTAAAAAGACTTCGAGTGCAGTGATGAACAGATCCGTTCAGCTGATTCAGTGATGCAAGAATCCGCTACCAATCATGATTTTTAAGACATGTAAGAGAGATACCAACATTTATTCAGTTTAAATTAATTCTTTAAAAATTCTAAGTTTCGTTGAAATCATAATACGAATTAAAATGTAATTGAATTTTGTGAACACAAAGGCGAAGGCTTCAGCATTCTTCTTAAAACAACCCTATAGAAATCATTCGTACTCTACGTATAATAATTATATGATTGAATTGATTTCAATCTTTGAAATGCGATATCATACATTTAACATTGGCGTAAGTCGCATTACACACTCGTATATAAAAGCTTTTCGAAATTTATATCGCTTTCCAATGTGCAGTTTCATGCATACTTCGAGCTTAATTACTACCGAATTCGTGAGTGTAGCTTTAATTGTTGAAATTGCAGTAATAATGGATTTTTACATTATTCTTCTATTTTTTTCATAGAATTTCATACATAGATACATTATTTGATTTTTTTTCATAGAATAACGAGTAATCGAAAGCTAACTCGTGTACATTGAACTTATGCGATCATAAGTTGTCTTTCCTCAATTAAAAAAGTTCAAACCAACCAAAAATTTCGTAAACATCTATTGTATATTTACTGTAGACTTATAATATTCTATTGTATGGAACGTTGGGACCTGTTCCCGGTGAGTTCATTGAGTATTAGTTGCGATGTCTGGTCGTGAGGAGCGAGTGCAACACACCTACTTGCTGCTGCTACCTGGAACCATCTGAAGCCTGGAACCTCGAGAGTCTTGCAAGAGGCCGACGTAGCGGCGGCTAGAAGGAGGCCTCCTGCCACGCGTAACTCGGCCTTCCAGCATCCGGTCACAAGGCGTCTTTATGCAGCTTGTGGCTCAGTGCAGCTGCTGCTGCTGCTGCTGCAAGTGCTGCACGTTATGGTGGAGGCTCGACGAGACTGTCAGTTGCTACGAGTGAGAGGCACGAGCAGCAAGCGAGGGCTGTTGTCGTGCCGTACGCTCGCTCAGTCTCTTGCCGCACAGATTCTCGGCCGCGCAACCTGAACCGAGGATTGTAATATGCACGCGCTAAATATTCGACTTGCTGGCAAAAAAATGTTTTCTGGATTTTAAATATTGGGTGGTAGACTGCTTTATGTGTTGGAAATCTTAAACTTGTGTTGCAAATATTGGTGAACTTCAGTGGCTGAAAACAAGTGGAAAAAAGTTGATCTCGTATAATTGAATCTCTTGGCTCACTTCAATATATTCCGAGTTTCCAACAAAGGTTATTGAAATTTGCTTATTACCTTTTACAATTAATTTTTCGTCAAAGGTTTCATCGCCAATATATTTTGTAAGGGATTAACAATTGAAAACGTTTTAGACTAATAGAATTGAATTCTTAAAAAAACAAACCTTGTCAACATTGTGCTGGTGCAAAAAAGTGGCATGCAACAAATAATTGCACTGAAACAAATTCACATCTGAAAACTTCACTGCACAACAAGAGTGAATTTCAGAAAGTGACTCACGAGTTCTATAGCAAATATTCACAAGCTAAAGTTCAGTGCATATAGATTTTAAATGAAAATTTAGTGGTTGTAATGGAAACAATCTTCGTTTGTTTAAAATGGAAGTGCTTCACTTGCTTTTTGTAGTGATTGTGTAATTTCCGCACTTGTCTGTCATAGTGAATTAGTTTGCAATATTTAGTAGCAATGTATGCAATTTTATGCAACCGTTGGTAACACGGTAGTGAACCGAACCGTTATTAATACGGGCGTTAACCGGATAACTCCAAAACGGACGTGAAGTGAAGTGCTATATAAACGGACGTGAAATCTAAGAAGAGAAATTTTATGCGAAATAAATTGCATTTAAACTTAGCGATATGCCATCCCCGCTGCCTCATTCGCCTCCACCTCCTCCCCATTATCCCCAAATGCCTGCTTTTCCAGGCCGGCCGCCAATATCCCCTTCTTTTGCCTCCCGTGTCGGGGAAAATTTTCCATCGAGATCTGGGGAAAATGGAGGCTTGAATTCACGAGGAGTTCCCGATCATGGAGGAAGCCATGCATCTTCTTACAACCACTTCGCTCCAAAAGGATTAGTGGACTCTTCGGGTGTTGGTCCCCAACAATATCCTCACAAGGGTCTTGAGTCACCACCCATGTTCCCCACGAGTCGGGGAGGAATGGATGCTTCACCGTATGGGTCCCATCGTTATTTACAAGACCACCATATCTCCCCATACTCCCCATACTCGACTCACCACCCATTTTCGCATCATGGGAACTATGGGCCGCCACATCATGGGTCATTTGGCCCTATTCCCCCATCGATGGGGCAGTGCTCACTACCCTCATCGCTACCCCAGTCCTCTTTCAACTCGACCCTCTCACCGCCGTCTTTGGCGCAGTCCACATGCAGTAATCTGCCCTACGGCGGCCCCGGCACTGCGTCCGGGAGCGGCAGTGGCGTAGGATTTTCTGTAGGACCTCAGCAACAACAACAACAACAAGCGCCACCACTCGAGGCTTTCGTACAGCTTCTCTTAGCCATGAACAGTGACGACCAACTCAAGGTAATATTTAATGATATTTCTATGTAATTAGAAAACATTTAGTGTTTATTCTATTCTAAATTACAAATTTCTTGAAAAGATTTTTTGTAAGTGCAAAATATTGGGAGGAACTTCCGGAATGACATATAAACGAGATTCAAGTGTATATGAAATTTCATCAATACTATATTTATTACGTTTAAAACGTGTAAATATTCTTTCAACTAAAGCGGCGCAGCACAATATTTTTATTTGAAAAGATTAGTTCATATAGGTAGTATTTACGCCTTCACTGTCGTAAAAGGACAAGATTCCAGAAACATGAACAGACTGCATGAACTAAATATTTTCTTCTTGTCTTAACGTGTGCAATTAATTGGTTTTTTACTTCTAGTGAAATCATGACTTGTGTTTTCATATTTTTTTCCGCTCTGATTATGCGGATGAGGGAAAAACGTACATTTTTAAATGTTCATTAGTCAACATAAAGCATGTATTTATTTCAACATGAAAGCATTCTAAAAATAATTTATTTAAATAAAATGCAGTCTACATTGATGAGCACTGAAAAAATTACTCCCAAGTAGCTTATACGTCTATGTGTTTGAATTATTTTAGATTCCTAATGTGAGGAAATTAGATTTAAAACATTAAGTTGTGTATGAAAGAAATGCACGTTCTATGAGATATAAAATCATATCGCGACAAGGCTGAACAAAATTTTGTTTTGATAACAAGTTTATACATCAACAAATCTTAAAAGTTCTTATAAGCTCTCAAAATTACTTATTCCATAGACACTGGGAATCAAATTCTAAAAACTATCTTTTCACTTGATTTCAAAACGCAATATTTATCCAAGGATGCGATGAATAAGAAACTTTAATGTTTATTATTTATAAGTAATAAAATTAATAAACATTAAAGTTTGGGAAGAAGTGTCTGTTTTATGTAAATAAAATTGTGCTCAGATTTAGACTCACTTTAAATTTGGATGACTATAACAATGCATGAGTTCAATACAAATTTTTTATATAATTAGATAAATTAAAATTTTCGCAAATTAATACTCGTCTCACTAGAAATGAATGAGACACCAGACAGAATAAATAACATGAATAACTCCTTGTTATTCTATGTTATTTGTTATGTTATGTTATAACAACTATATGTTATAACAACAACAACAAGGAGTTATCTATAATAACTCCTTGTTATTGTTGTGCACTTATTCGTTTCGATTCGAAAATTTGGGGATGTCTTGTAACATTTATAACATACCCGAGAAATATATGCCTATGCAGTGATGCAAAAATCGTGAATGCCAATTCAGTTTTCTGGTTCCAAAATGAAATAAAATTAATAAAGTTCTTGTGCATCTCGATTTCTTTAAAATTCAGAAATAATAATAACTTTCAAATAATGTGCTTAATCAGCTACTAAATATAATCAGAGGTATCATAATCACAGTAATAGTATATACGTATACTTTTTCTTTGTTTCCTTAAATCGAAGCAGTAATTGTTACCTGTGTTTTATCGTGCATTTTTATATAACTGTTAGTAGCACTTCTTTACATCTGTGCATCGTTGCGGTCCTTCACTATATAATATACGAACAAAACGTTATTATTATCACTTACTTATTTTTATTCTCTTCTCACCATGGAGAAAATTTAGCCAAGTTTGCCGAGTATAACTATCCTGAATCTTCACACTAATAATGATTATTATTTTACAGTTTAATTAATTATTTTTAAAATTGTAACGAAGTGTATTCAAATAAGCCTAGATTATAATAAAATATCGTAACCGCATTTCGGAAGATCCGAATGGCGAGAAAGACAAATATCGAAAATTTCATTTTGTTTTTAATATTGCATATGCTTTGGATGTCATATTGGCTCGATGATATAGTTAATGGCTGCTTGTAATGCCACTTTTTTATTGTATGCGAGGTCAGATTTAAAATAAATAGAATTATTGATTGAAAGCTTGAATTAGATTTTGTTGAGATTTAAGGCATTATATTGAATTGACTTTGCCTTGTAGTAAATTAATGGTTGTAATATTGGTGTCAATATTAGTGGTAATATCGGTTTTGATAAAGGCTGATGTTGCTTGAACTTTTAGTTAAAAAATTGGCTGTTAAATGGGTTCCATCACATGTTGGAAATAATGTAATGCAAATAATGTAATGCAATGGTTGCAGTATTGCGTGACATTCAACATATAAGTTCCTCTTAGAATTAATATTCATTCGTAATGTAGATCATTATTTTTGGAGTCGATTTTCATGAGCGTCTATCATTCTAAATTTCTGAATTTTGTTGCTTTTGTACTCGGATTAGTTCTCAATAATGTTCTTTAACAACTTATGCAGTTATTTATGGCATTTTGTTGATATTGTTTGAAGTTTAGTGTTGATTGAGGTACAATACTGGTTGATGCTGTGAACCGTTTGATATGAAAACTGATTAATGTTCTCTATTGCAGATATTCAATACTGTCCAATGATCAATGTATGTTTTAGGTTAATAGTAAATGCTGTAAAATTTTAAAAATGGCTCAATTTATGTTTAATATCATATAAATATAATTATTTTTATTCTAATATTCGACTAAGAAGAGTCACCAGAATCCCTGTAAGTACATATCGACTGCGCAGCACATCATAAGCCTGGGCTGTCACATCTGTAGCGCCATGATCGCGCGGCTAAACAAACAGCTTCTGCAGACAGCCAAAAAAATGCACTGAATTATGACTTCTCGTAAGAAAAATGCACCGTTTGAATGAACAGCTCGCGCTGCAAAGGCTGCATCCGCTTTTTGCAAGGCTTTCTGGGATTTTTTTCTTAGGCGGCTCGGCTAGAACGTGCGCCGCTTTTTGCTAAGCTTTCTATTTTGGCCATCAATTATGAACATAGAGGATCAATTTAAGCGAGCTATCATTTTATTGCCACTCAAATTTCAATGATGGAAAAGTAATAGTACCTGTTGTATTGTTTAAATTTGCAGAGCATGTTCGAGGTTGCGCCGAATTCGTTCAACTATTTACCAAAAATATTTTTCTTACTCAGCATGTGCAACATATTACTGGCCAACGAAAGCTAAACACATCAATGCATACCACAGGAACACAACACATCACTGCGCACCACACATCACTACACAAAATACATCATTGCACACAACACATTACTGCACACATCACTGTGCATCACAGGCACTTTCAAAATTCAAATCACATCATTGCAGACATGACATCACAACACATCACTGCAGACATCACATCACATCACAACACTGCAATGCAGAAAAAATATGGCAAGCAAGTAAATAGTTTTAAGTGGCGTATTCTGAGTAGGTGGTTTTTGGATCTTGATACAAAATAGAGGACTCGAATTAACAATGACGGCTTCTCAATGCTATTAATTATGAAAGAAATCGTCGTGATAATAGCTACATTGTTGTTGCTAATATCTTCAGAGTTAATTTGAGAAACATAACACGAGGGTTTTTCTGACTGATTGACCCAATTTAAAGAATTCGTTTATAATGAGTAATAATTCAAAATTAATAATTTATACGCCAATGAAAAGAAAAAGACTCAAATTATTTCCACGTATTTATAAAGTTCAATGTTTTCTAGATTGGCATCTTGATGCCCGAAACTTTTTGAATCAGTCACGTCCTGAGCGTTAGGTAGGACGCATAGGAAATGAAGATCAGGCTCTACACTTCTGGCCACCGAGATCACCTGATCTCATGTGACTATTTCTTATGGGGTTACGTCAAGGAAGCTGTTTACGTCCCGCCTCTACCAGCAACTCTGTTTACGTCCCGCCTCTACCAGCAACTCTGGTTGATCTGTAAAAAAAAATTTAGTAATATGTAAAAAAATTTGGGTCTTTTTCTTTCCATTGGTGTATAAATTATTCATATTGAAATAATTCTTGAATATGTTCGAATTTATTTATCGGGTTCATCATTTAAAATAAGCTTGTATTTGGTCGACGTTAAATTTGTCGCTTGACTATATTAAAATTCAATTGTGTTTGATTTTTATTCAACTTTATGACATGTTCGCATTTTAGCTAGAAAGTAAGCTATATTTTGAGCATTGTGTTCATTTCAACTAATATATATACCGCGTCTTAGTCGTATTATAGAGATACAAACACTCACCTACCCTAATTCTGAAAATTCGATTTTTTATATCGGTATAAATTATCTGAATTTTACGCTTCTTAGTATTTTTCTTCTATTTTCTCACACGCATATCCCAAGCACTGTCTACCATTTTCTCCCCTCATCCCTCTTTAAGTTACCCATGCATGCACACATTATACACTGTCAAGTGTTTTCTCCATTGCTCTCTCTTTAAGTTACTCACCCAGCCTCACACTCGACGCATTCTTTTCTCTAACACTAGCTAATCAATACAAAGTTTCAATGATATAGACTTCTCACTATCCCGTCGTGCCCAAACTTTCTTCCCTATTATGCTCGACTTCAGACTCTTGAATGAAGCCAGGAATATTTTCGCGTGCAAGTTTTGCGAGGCATGCGCCAACCGCTGCTTAGTGAAACTTATCTTCCTTATGAGAAACTGCACTCGATGCTAAGCATGAAGATTAGGTTCATCAGTTTCCTTCCTAGCGCATAAAAAAATTAATCGTGAAATTAATCGGATCTAAAGAATGCAGATTAAGTTCATCAGTTTCCCTCCTAGCGCATCAAGAATTCATCATTAAATTAATCGGATCTCATGAAAACAAATTAAGTTCACCAGTTTCCTTCCTAGCGCATCAAAGAATAATATTATTCATTAAATCAAACGAATCTAAAGAATTCAGATTAGGTTCAGCAGTTTCCTTCGTAGCGCATCAAATAAATAATCATGAAATTAATCGGATCTCATAAATTCAAATAGAGCACATTATTTTCTTTCAACGCGAACCAAAGAATTAATCATGTACAGTACTTATGTGAGCTTTTTTGAGACTGTTTCACGGTACC